TATGTGACTATACAAATCACAACATGTAAATAGGAAAACGTTTGCATTATTTTGCCACTCATTTGGATCAGTATGAAAGCTGCAACCAGTCACATCAAGTCTTTGTGCTAAGCTAGGCTAGCGGTGGGTGCGTCAAACAGACTTATAGCACGCACGGAGATGAAAAAGGTATGTATGGACTTATCTAACTCTGGGGGGTAAGGTGAATAGGCTAAAGTCCCAAAAAGTCGGAGTGTTCCTTTAATGTTTGTCTTGATATTAATTGTTAAAGACAATGAATTTGTACACAAGCCCTGCTTTGTTGGCTGATGTTTTTCTTTACAATAAATGCCACCAGCTTTAATATTTTATATCAGCTTTATATATTTTATATTTTTATATTTATATTGACAATCAGACATCTCTAAGTGTGACTCATATGTCTAATCTTAGTCTCACACACTGTAAGATATGTATTGTAAGCTTGATTATATTTTTCTGTAAATCATCTATAGTAAATGCTGCCCCCTGGTGAAGGGTTTCAGCAGTTCTCAACAAACATGATTAATTGTCATGATGCCTAAACAGGTTCACAGTTAGATGTTTAATGTTTGACAGACACTCACATTTCAACCTGTGCATTAAAAAATACAGTTGATGACCTGTTTACATTTTTCTGTAAATAGCTTCAGTATAGGGTCTAACATGTTGTTGATTTAGATGATTTAACGAGTTTAGAAAATTCTTCCTCTCCTATAGCAATGAATGAATCTTTTTCCCTCAGGGAGACTACAATGCACTGCCTGATGCAATGCTGTAGTAGACGGTTGCATAGTTATAATTTTCTCCCTGATATTATCACTCTTAAAAGTGAAGGTCATAAGGTTATTACTGGTGTGCTGCTTGGAGACTTCTGGGATTGAAGCTTTGTTTTTTGTTAATTTAGCTACTGTTTCAATTTCAAATACTGTAAATACCTCTGGTTTCTTTATTTTCTTCTAATGCGGTTGAGAAATAAGCAGATCTAGCAGCTTTTAAGGCCTCTCTGTATATGCAATCGAGCTCTCTCTTTCTGGCCACTCTTTAAAGGGATAGTTCACTTTGAAATTAATTTTTGATATGTTTTAGCTTACCTCAAGGGCATCCAAGATGTAGGTGTCTTTGTTTCCAAAGTATTTTTTAATTTCGACATTTTTTGGTCAAACCGTTGTTGTCTGTCAGTCATACACTGGAGGTGAAGGGGGTCCTCAATCGGTTCACCTCAAAGAGCATGCACAGAGAAGTCAAAATTAAACATGATTTAATGACTCGTACATGTAAGTATACATTGATGGCCTAAGACACGAAACGAGCGGTTTGTGTGAGAAAACTAACAGTATTTATATCGTTTTACCTCTTGTAATCATAGCCATGACAAAATGATCTGACGGCACGGGCACTTCGGTCTGCGCATGCGCCGGAAGTGATCGCTTGCGCGCCTACGTCACTCTTTGTTTATACAGAGATTTCGGAAGTTTTACCTTTCACTAAACATATTTAGATATACGTGAAACCGCAGTGGAAGACGATTTCGGTATATCTAAATATGTTTAGTAAAAGGTAAAACATCCGAAATCTCCGTGTAAATATTGAGTGACGTCACACGCACGCGATCACTTCCGGCGTAACATTGAACTGATTCAGTTCGGTTCAGTTGGACATTGAACAACTGATTCAGATCACTTGGATTACACGAGGTAAAAACAATATAAATACTGTTCGTTTTCTCACATTAAAGGATTAGTTCACTTTTGAAAAAACTTTTGCTGATAATTTACTCACCCCATGTCATCCAAGATGTCCATGTCTTTCTTTCCTCAGTCGAAAAGAAATTAAGGTTTCTGATGAAAACATTCCAGGATTTTTCTCCATATAATGGACTTACATGGGAACCAGACAGTTCAAGGTGCAAAAGACAGTTAATAACAGTTTCAGATGCAGCTTCAAATGTCTTTAAACGACACCAGACGATGAATAAGGGTCTTATCATGTGAAACGATCGGTTATTTCAAAACTTATTCCAAAAATGTAACTTTTCTAAGGACAAATGCTAGCCTTGCTCTATTCTGTGAGGCGCGTTTGTAACGTCACGTAATACGTAATTACGTTCAAAAGGTCACGGGCGATGTAGCCGGAAGTACAGAATCAAAATCGTCCGACATCGTTGTTTTACCTTTTAATTCCTTTTTTTGTAAACGGCTTTTGAGTTAGTTTGCACGTTCAACCTATGCGTTCAACTTGTAAACACTCTGTACTTGTGGCTACGTCGCCCGTGACCTTTTGAACATAATTACGTATTACACGTATTATGTCAATCAAAAACTCAGTAGCCAATGAGAACATGTAACGGAGGCCAGCTAGTAGTTGCTGTGCAAGTAAACCTCACTCCCCTGATCTCAATAGGCGCTCTAGCGACAGACGCTAGAGGCTGCAGTCTTTAGCCTCCTTGTTAGAGCTCCTGACTCTCATGCCGGAGACCCGGGTTCGAGGCGAGTGGGACCCGGGTATAGGGGTTACAAACACACTACTACTAGCCCCGCCTCCACAAGAGATTTGTGTCAGAACAGCGAACGCAAACTCAGGCAATGTAAACGAAAACTTCAGAAGCGTAAATGAAAACTCTGGAAGCGCATTTGTAAGTTTAGATCAGTAAAAGAAATATGAGGAATAGTTAGCAAAACATGCAGTGTATTAAAAACAAAGTCAAAAAAATTGCCTCCGAAAATAATTCCATAATATATCTCCGTGTACTTACAGTGGTATTATTCACCATACTGACTCTGTGCCTGAATGGTTTCGGGAACCAAGATAGACCGGTATTTGCCCATTTGCTGCAGCTAAATAGCCGCGATGGCAAAGAGCACTCACTGTTTCTCATTCATTTTTAATATTATGCATTTTATGTACTGATTCTATTTATATTTAGACTTTACCTTACAAAATATTTGTTTGAAGATATTTGTCTCATTCCCCATTGACTGTAGTCAATGGGGAATGAGATCTGTTTTATTAAAACATTCTTCCAAATATCTTCCTTTGTGTTCAGCAGAACAAATAAACACATAGAGGTTTGGAACATCATGAGGGTGAGTAAATACTGACAGAATTTTCATTTTTGGGTGAACTAACCCTTTAATGCTCTAATTCACACCTGAGAAGACCTGCATAATGAGTCTTTCAGTCAGGTGTGTCACTGGGACCACAAGAAAGAATATTTGGTATGCATGCAAATTGTATAATATCCAAAGAAAATATTTCTAGTAACTTTGCAGTATATTCTCATACTGTATTTTCAGAAAGTTTTGGAATATATCCTCTCCCCAAATGTGTTATAAAAAAACAATAAAAAATAATTTAACGAGAAGGCTTATTGACCTATTAAGATGTTGCCTATAACTACCTTGAATTTTTTTTCTATTTTATTAAAAAGTTTTCACATGTAAATCAACAACAATTACAATTTTAAGATTAAGTGTAATCTTTCTTTATAAAAAGTATACATTTCATCATACGTATTTCAAAGTAAAGGATTCATTCGTTTAAATATTGAATCAAACACTAAAAACATCTTAGTTGATACCGGTAATTCAATGTGCTTTATTTTTGACAAAACATTCTATACTATATATTTGATATATAAGCTGAAATTGGGGAACACACACTTATTTGATGTGACAGTAGTACCATGTACCAGTACCAATACCAGAAACTGATACTGCAGTATCGATACCATTATGTACATTTGACAGGAACACACACGCAATTTTCGCCCGTAAAGGTAATGGGCGTTAAGTATCCAGATAACGTTCACTAGTCAGTTTAGCCAATCACAACACTAGCCAATTGGAACCCATTGCCTGTTTCTGAGGGAGTGTTTTCATAGACTCAGGAAGTCAACCGGTCTTTCAAGTGACAGAGGAGACCGCGGCTTACAATAAAGGTGAAATTTATGAAAAATAAGACTTTAAAAGAAAGAAAAAACACGAATACATGTTATATTGCACCCCATAAACACAATCATGCAAAGAAAAAAAGCAGTAAACCACCCCTTTAAAGCCAAACCACTAATGCGACCCACTGCACAGCACAAATAAATTGGTCAGTAGTGCATTTTCAGTTTTTTTTTATGTTATTATTGACCGTTTCCAAAAAGTTTTTAATATTTCACACCCAAACCACATGAATGTTTGCAGTGTTCACAGTGTTTAAGAGTCATGTCAGAAGGGTTTCTGGGCCTGATCTAATTTTGTTCTAATTTGCTTGATGACACCTACAAATTTTACCAACTTTTTTTATTTTTGCCAACATGAAATGCCACTACCAGCTGTGCTTTTGCCTTGCAAGTTTCTCTTTCTTTTGTTGTCCATCTCGCCTTCTGCTGGGTTCAGTCGCTCCACTTAAAGGGATAGTTCACCCAAAATTAAAATTAGCCCATGATTTACTCTCCTTCAAGTCATCTTTCAGACGAATACAATCGGAGTTATATTAAAAAATGTCCTGGCTCTACCCAGCTTTATAATGGCAGTGAATGGCCGTTTCTGTTTTGTAGTCTATAAAATTTCATCTATCCATCATAAAAGTGCATCTACCCATGATAAAAGTACTTCTATTCAAGATAAAAGTGCATCTATTCATGATAAAAGTGCATCCATCCATGATAAAAGTGCAACTATCCATGGTAAAAGTGTATCTATCCATGGTAAAAGTGCATCTGTCCATGACTTTTATCATGGATAGATAAACTATGGAAACAGAAACAGCAATTTACTGCCATTATAAAGCTTGGAAGAGCCAGGACATTTTTATATAACTCTTAGGATTAGTCTGAAAGAAGAAAGTTATATACGCCTAGGATGGCTTCAGGGTGAGTACTGTAAATCTTGGGCTAATTTTCACTATCCCTTAAACTTTATTTTACAGCGCTCAATATGTGAATCAACACCTACTGATCTCTATTCTTCATGTTGTATTTTCTCAAACAGTGACCTCTCCAACCCAAGCGAACCAGGAAAGCGGCTCAGGTCTTGAGGACGATGACATTGACGAGACGTCCCTCTTCCAGGAGATTGACCGTGAGCTGTCGAAGCTGTTGAATGGCCTGAGCGCTCGCAGTCATGATGCCTCGGCCCAACTGGAATCGACGCCCGCCTCACCCATGATCCCCTGCAGCGGACACAACCCAAGCCCGACGCCAGCCCTGGACATGGCCAAGAACGGCCCGTCTGAGCTTGTGGGAGACTCTCTGCTGTTCAACTCGTGGTGTGAGGCGCTCATCAAGGACCCCAGCTCCGTCATGGCGGCCGCCAGCGAAATGGGCTGCTTCACCCGGGACCCCAGGCCTGCAGCGCCCAGCCAGAATAACTCCGACGCCAGCCCGACTCCAGCTGCGGAAAACACTGGGAAGGAGACGGAGGGCAAGAGGGCAGGAGCAGAAGAACTCGTGGACGAGTCTCTAGAGGAGTCCAACAAAATCCTGGCCGAGATACCGGGCATCTTCAGCGGCTTTCTGGAAGGGGGCAAACTGCGGGACAAGCCGCCGAAGAAGCTGCGGTTTGTGGAGAGCAGGGCAGAGAGTGTATCGAACGGAGACATGCAGAACTGCAGTGTGAAAGAGGAACCAAATCTGGACACGCAGATCTCAGATGCCACAGGAGCGGCTCAGGGGCTAGAGCTCGAACACAGACCCGGCCACACACACACAGGAGACAACGCCTCTGACAGGTACAGTGCCTCCATCACAGTCCTTCACTTGCTTAAGAGACCGGGAATCATTGTGTTTTCGACAGATATTATTCACACTTTAAATTCTAAGACATAGATAAACCGGCGTGTTGAACAGGAAACAACTGTGTTCACAGGTAAATTAACTCCTTACATTTTTTATTGTTTTAGTCTTGTTTAGTCTACATAATTATTTGGGTAACACTTTACAATAAGGTTCACATTAGTTGACTACCTAACATGAACTAATAATGAACAATACTTCTACAGCATTTATTAATCTTAGTTAACGTTAATTTCAACATTTACTAATACATTATTAAAATCAAATGTGAACAAACAATGAACAACTGGATTTTTATTAATTAACATTAACAAAGATGAATAAAAACTGTAACAAATGTATTGCTCATTGTTAGTTCATGCTAGTTAATTTAGTAACTAATTGTACCTTATTGTAAAGTGCTAACATTATTTGTATTATTAATGTTTTTGAGCTATTCATGTTTATTATACTTCTTAAATTGCTATTATTTGAAAAATCCAAAATAAAGTTATAATTAAAAAATGTTTTTTGTTGGGTTGCCGAGTCCTTGGTTTTCCTGTGGTATTCACTTCCTTTTTAACTGTTGCCACAAGTTGATTTACTTCCTGCGGGTTAGACATTTTGCAAAAATTGTGTTTGAAATATTTGACCCATTTTATATTCTAGTAATGATCAAACCGTGCTAGAAAATACAATGTTTTAGGGAAAGACAATGGAAGGAAGCCTTTCAGCTCCTGTTTGCTAATTTATAAAAACACAATTACTTCTAGTGATTCTGAAATTGTGTATAATGCACAACGGTGCCTGTGAAATATGTATTTTACGTGTGGGAGTGGCATATTTTGATATATGGGCAAGTTTTGTTACACAGACCTGGCAACCCAACCTGGCAACCCTCATTATCAGACGCTTTATCATTAAAATAATCAGTATTATTGTATGACTTATCTCTTTTTAATTCTTATTAATTAAACATTTTTTGGGGACATTTTTAAATGAACACAACATTTTCATAGACAGCATTTCATAGACGTTTAACTATGTGAAACGCTCTGCACTGGGCTGTCACTGTGTTTTTAGTATTAAAGGTGCAGTGTGTGATTTTTTATTTTTTTGGTTCGGTTGCGAGTTTGCACTAAAGGCTCAGCCCACTGCTCACCCCTCCCTTTCGAAGAAGCTACGGTGGCTAAAACTGGACAAACATATCGTTTAATAGGCTTTTTTTCTCTGATTTTGAAAACTCTTCGTGATCGACTTAAAATGCTTCCAAGATCGACTTGTCGATCGCGATTAACGGGTTGGTGATTCCTGTAACGTACTGTATTACAGTCAATGACAAGAGTACTAATCAGCTGTCTCATAAACGTAACCAGCACATTTATCCCCAAATAGCAAAGCCGTAACACAGCGAGGGAGAAGAACTAAGTTACATGAAACAATTCAACTACATATTTTACACCACTCACAACGGAAAAGTCTCTACTCGCAGTGTCTATGGCTAGCTTCTAGGTTTCTGCGGCTTTCAAGAAAGTGACGAAATGCGTAACGATGTCAGCTACGGTACAAACATGACGTCACAATATGTCGACCTTCATAGAAGGGGGTGCAGATATGTAGATATAAATGTCTCATTCTAAGGTAGTAAAAACATTATGGTTTATTAAGTTCTTTATACACCACTGAAACATAGTTATGGATGTCATATTGCATTTCTGTTAATGGATACTCAGCATTTTTACACATTGCACTTTTAAACTGAAAAAAATTGGATATTTATAATTTGCATTTTTCTTGACTTGTTTGCCGTCACATTGCATTTCGGTTTTGCCACAATCTAGATGGCAATATCATTTTGCTGTCAACCTTTAGGAGTATAGCCGTCAGGTCTGGAGCACAGCTATGTATTAGTGTGTGTGTGTATAGTCCACTTTAGACCGTTTACTCCACCTACTGACTTATGGGAAGCGCTCTAGCCAGACGGGATTTAAACTTTCTTGACTGAAGACACAAGTTTGGTTTGAACTTTGAAGATGAAAAATGTACCAAGCAGGATTTTCTCTCACAATTCCCAATTCTAACACACACTCACTATGTTCGGCTGGTATGAGAGCAGAAACTAAAGCTGATGCTCTCCGTGTGTTTCTCCTGCAGTTCATGTAAGCTGAGTGAACAGGGCCATAGAGACACGCCTGCACTTTACACACTACAGAGATAAAGCGTCCTGTTCGTCAGCTCATTACTCTATACAGTCGGTTCTCTATGGTTTCACTTCCTTTATACTTTCTGCCTAGTGTTCGAAAGAACTGGTCAGGCTCAAAAGAGGAAGCATTGTCCACTTTCAGCTGAAAAAGGAACCAGGCTTGTGGCTTTATAATGGAATCTAACTTCCTGTGGGCGGCTCTCGTGAATTTGTTTAGAACATATACAGATCATTAATAACATCTAGCATAAAGTTGCATTGTCATGGCAATTAATATATTTGTTGTACGACCTTAAATGATGCGTTAAATTAGAATTTCATAAAAGTCATTGGTAACGTTTTACAAAAAGGTTCATTAGTTAACATTAGTTAATGTATTACCTAACAATGTGCAATCCATTTGTGACAGTATTTATTAATCATTGTTAATGTTAGTTAATAAAATTACAGCTGTTCAGTTTTTGTTCATGTTTGTAAACAAATGTTAACAAATTAATTTAAATGTTAAAATTTAACATGAAAAAAGATGAATAAATGCTGTAGAAGTATTGTTTATTCTGAGTTTATGTTAACTAAGGTAGTTAACTAATTAACCTTATTGTAAAGTGTTACCAAATCGGTAACATAATACTGTATTTCAGTAATAAGATGCATAAATGCTTTATGGAAATGATAGTTTGAGAAGAAATGTACTTAATTAATGGACTTTTATCTTAAAAGGCTATGTATTTTTTTTTTATGCAAATGTAATTCGATTCATTCTTCTCATTCTGGGGTGAGATGTGACCCTCCCTGTTTTTTTGTGAAACTCACTCTTACGGGGTATGCTGCCAGATTAGCATATACGTAACATATGCTTGAGTTTTACCCATCATGAGTTCTCCTGTAGTAGGAGATGTAAAGGTGCGCATGTCGCAAAGCCAGCTTTTGTTGAGGTGTTCCTGTTTCGCCCTGTGTGCTGTTGTTGAGGTGTGTGTGTGTGTGTGTTTTAGGAGTCCTGAAGGTGAGAGTGACTCCACAGATGTATTCAGCTGCCGGTTCGAGAGCATCCTGGAGTCTGAGCGTCTGCGGGCGACTCTCTACAGCAGCATGGACTCGCTGGACCCTCAAGCTGAACCTGAACCCCAGTCCCAAACCGCCCCGGAGCCCTCCTTCTCCCTGGACATCCCCCTTACGCCCATGATCCAGCAGCGGCTGAAGGACAGAAGCCTCTTCCTGGCCCCCCCGGACCCGAGCTCGGACACTGAGGTGCTGAGCGTCTCGAAGCCGAGCGGGGGGGCGGCGCTTGAGCTCACCTCGTCCTTCCTCTCCACAGCGAACGGTGGAAACCACAGAGACTGGCTGACGGGCTGTTTAAGGTAGGAACACACACTTCACTTCACACAAAAACGCTGCAACGCTGACAGAAACTCTTTTTGACTTTCACATGGTTGCAAAAATTATAGATGTGTAGCTTTTACATTTTTTTTAGCACTGGGCATAGTTTGATTAAAGCTGAAGAGCTTGCTTGTTTGTGTGTAAGAGAGAGATTATATGGCGCCCTCTGCTGAAAAGTCTTAGTTAAAGTCCCCCTGTAGTCAATAATTTTATCCCTTAAAATTCATCTTTGATTACCATAATTACATATTTAAGTGTTTTATTTTCTTGAAAAAAAATTCTTCTTGCCTAAAAATATCTTGAATGTAACTCGACACCCATGCCTCATTTAGTACACATGTGCTTCTATGAATATGCAAATGGGCCCTGCCTCTACTCACTCACTCAGCTCAGTGATCCACTCGTTCACACGTTGATCTGATTGGTTAGGCTACAGTTTTGTGATGTCAGAAACACAAGCGATTTCAAACCGTGTTTTTGAGACCATCTTTGGTTCACTTCAGTTTTAAGGAGAAAATACTCAGCAATGCTGTCGAATTATGAATTTACATATGGTTTGACTTAAAGCATACTAATAACACCACATTGACATGTAAACAACATTAAAAGCTTGATTTTCACCACAGAGGGACTTTAACTAAAACCATCAAACACCTTTGTCACTTTAGATAAAATAAGCATTATTTTTTGATCTTCTATCATTTCAGTTAGTTTCCTGGGCAGCATTTCTAATGTTCATTTAGTTTAACTTGGTGTACTATAATAAAACTAAAACAGTGAAATTTAAAAACCTTTGAACATATTTTATTTCATCTAGTTGCGAAGGATTTGTTTTTCAAACTAATAACTCAAACTAAAATAGAAATAAAATTATAAATAAAAACTATATACATAAATTAAAAAAAAAATACAAATATTAAAAAATTCCAAAACAGAATTACTATTTTTTTTTAATTAAAATGGAAGGTTTAACTGTAAAACTGTAAAAAAAATAAAATAAATCAAAATAATAATAAAACTATATATTAATCTCAGTGATACTAAAATAATTTTCACAAAGTCTTTTTTCAAGATAACTGTAATCCATAAATAAGAGTTGAGAAGTTAAAGAGTTTTTTTTTGTGCTTGTCATGGTGTTAAAAAAGTTGTCTGAAAGACGTCAGTCTCTAGTACATCACAACAGTTTTATAGTTATTACAGGGTTCATACGCAGTTTGGAAAAGTGTTGATAATATTTGTGTTTCCAGACTAACAGTTTTCTCAAATATAAAATTAGGAATTTCTAAAAATAAATTGATCATACAAACAGAGCGATTTTATGGCAAAAGTTTAGTGATTAAAATGTATATGAGGTTAATGCCAGTGGCAAGAGTGTCAGCGAGCGAGTGCAAGTGAGCATCAGCAGAGCTCAACTTTAGGATCAGAAGATGATCATAGAACTGTTCTGATCCACTGTGTTTTGTGATTGATCGTATCACATTACACACATTTTTCACGGTCAGTGTGGACAGAATAAGTGCTTGTTGCTGGAAATGGACTGGTTAGCTGCACTAACTGCAAGTGGTTTAATTGTAAAGCATTATCTCAGGTTGAGCATCAGTGTTCATTTTACAGTGTCGTCAAGCTGGGCTCATCCAATCCCAATGTCAGAGTCAGAGCTAAATCATTTATTACTGTTACACATGGCCTTATTTGACTTTCATTACTTTACAAATATGTTTATTGATCTTTTCTTACTATGATCTTTTTAAAAGCCACCATTTGCAACTATTGCTTAAATTACTTCCATTGATTCCATTATAAAATCTACTGTATTAATAATTTCTTATTTAAAACTGAAACAGAAACCCAGTAGATAAACTTATATTTGAATTCGATTCTTTGATATTTATTTTTAGAGGTGTTCTTTACAGTTTCGGTACACTTTCATTATTTCATATTTATCGTGACTGTAGCTCATTTTATAGTCAAGTATATTTATATAGCGCTTTTCACAATATAGATTGCAACAAAGCAGCTTTACAGTATCAATCAAAACATAATAACAATGTTCGTTTCTTAGTGGAAAAACATCCACGTTTTTTTTTTACATAAGCAGTAACTGCTTATGCTTCCTCTGGCCATATAGTCACTGCAAAGGGACAGTCGCATTAAATAAATACGGGAGTAAACTCACAGCCATGGTAATCAAAGCAACATCTCCAAGCCTTGTGGATGCAAAGAAGAAACCAGAGATGCATTTAAAGTCCGATATCTTCATTAAACCTCTGACAGAGCCAGTGTATTATGTTCTAAAAATATAAAGCAGCTACTGCATACACAATTTATTTGATCAAAATACAGTAAAAACAGTAATATTGTGAAATAGTAGTACAATTTAAAATAGCTGTTTATGTGAATATATAGTAAAGTGTAATTTATTCCTGTGGTCAAAGCTGAGTTTTTAGCATCATTACTCCAGTCTTCAGTGTCACATGATCCTTCAGAAATCACTCTGATATGATTTGATGCTGAAGAAACATTTATGATTTTTAGCAATGTTGAAAACCGTTGTGCAGCTTCATTTTTTTTGAGAAACTGTGATACATTTATTTTTCAGTATTCTTTGAAGAGTAGAAATTTCAGAAGCATTTTTTACAGCATTTATTTAAAATAGAAATCTTTTTTAACGTTATAAATGTCTTTACTACCACTTTTTGACAATTTAATGTGGCTTTGCTGAATAAATGAATAAAAAAACAACTAAAAAGTACTGTAAAGGGTGCAGTAAGCGATTTCTGTTAAAAGTGGATTGGACCGAGCACCACAACACACTTCTATATTGATCGGTTAGTGATTTAGAATAGAATGACTGCTGCGCTTGACAGGGCGCATAACGAGCAGAGAGAGAGACAGAGAGAAAGAGCGCGCGCAATCTCGCGTCTTCAAACAACACGAACGCTGTCTTGCTCTCTCTCCCTCGCACATTTTAATCAAATCAATTGACACGATAGTAAAAGGTTGGAAGACCGCAGTTTCACGTGGAGCATTAGGACATTTTTAGAGATTAGAGACTCAATTAATAACATCTCAACACTAAATTATAAAGTCCGCACTCATATAGACGCCTGTCTCAAATACAAGCTGGTGCATTTCGACGATTTGGGAAAATAAAAGCACGGGCTATTATTTGAAGTTTTACGGTAATTCTGCTTCCTATACACTTGATCCTATTTCAACATACCTTCTAAAACCCCTTTTGCCTTCACTTATTCAACTTATTACTCATGTTATAAAAAGATCTTTTGCCACTGCCTATGTTACGGATCATCTGAAAGTTGCGGCCATCACTCCAATAACTAAAGTCTTGCCTCGATACCACCATTGCGAACAATTATAGACCCTCGATCCCGTACCGTCACTATTTTTCATGGTGTACCTCAAGGTTCTGTACTCTGCCCTCTTTTATTTCTATTTATGTGCTGCCACTAGGACAGATCATCAGACGGCATGGTCTCAACTCTCTTACTTAAGCTGATGTTATTCAAATTTATTTCATGGTTAAACCTAATTCAGTTTGTCCTTCTCTTGCCTTCAGGAACTTAAAATATGGATGTCTGATAACGTCTTAGAGCTTAATGCTGGCAAAACTGACAAAAAAATAAATAAAGATGATTGATTGGCCCTAAATCGCAGAGCATGACATTTTCATCGATATTGATGGTGTCCAGACATTAATGAAAATTTTATGCTCTGTGATTTAGGGCCAATCAACTGTTTTTTTTTGTTTTTTTTTCGGCCAATCAAACTGTTTTTTCACCACACGAATGAGAAATAATAGAGGACCGAGTACACTACAGAACCTTAAGGTACACCATAAGAAACAGTGACGGTACAGGATCGATTCTCACCTATCCTAAAAAACTGCTGTCTTTTGAACATTGTATTTATTGGGTTTTTTTTCGTCAAAAAACAAACAAAAAAAAAGGGATAAACAATACAAAATACAAATTGAAAAATTCTTAAAAAACCGCTGTCTATCCGATAGATATGAAGTTAACCACTGAAGAGTAGCCTTCTAAAACTTAAGACGACTCGTTACGTTTTGACTCACACATTGCTCAGATTGTTAAATCATGCTGCTTCCACTTGCAGAATATTTTGCTTTTGGAGATGCTGAAACTGTTATCCACGCGTTTAGATTGGACTACTGTATTGTATATAGCGGCTTACCCACCAAAGCTATACATCGCCTTCACATGGTGCAAAACTCTGCTGCTCGAGCCCTTACATATAATAAAACATCTGCACATATTAGGATCCGGGTTAATACTAGAAAGCTGCCCAGTGCTAGACAGAGCTCAGCGGGAAGGCCTGATAATGTACAATAGTGTTGTTTCTACTCCACACATGAGTAACACTGGTTTTGCTTTGTTTTTACAGAACCAAAATATGCTGCTGTTATAATGTTAGCTCTAGTTACCCGACAGGGTAACACTTTATTTGAAGGGGTGTGCATAAGACTGACAAGGAGTCTTTATGAATGTTTATGACTGTTGTCATTAAGTGTCATTCGGTAAATTATGACACTTTTAATGCAAAGTTGACATTGTTTAAAATCTCTTCGTTATGACAACTTGACATTAACCAAGAAATCATAACTAGTCCAACGTGTTCCACTTTACTTGAGGTAAAGGGAAATATTAAAGACACTGTTGTTAAAGCATTTGACAGTGTTATAACCCTTAATGAAAACTAGTACAATGTGTTCCACTTTACTTGAGGACAAGTAAAATATTCATGTCACAGTTATAATGGTGTCATGACAACCAAAGTTAAAACCAACCATAACATATGACAGGGTAATGTAATGTTAGCACAAAGCTAAATAACTTCTTTAAGTTTGATAATTAGACCTGTTATGACATATTTGTGACAGGTTATGATTTCTTGGTTAATGTCAAGTTGTCATAACAAAGACATTTTAAACAATGTCAACTTT